GAAATCCCACGCCAGTCCTGTGACCTCTTGCTTGTTAGCAGGTCAACACAACCTGGAGAGTTTGCCCTGGGAACTTTGGGTGTCCCTCACAGGCTGGGGCTGCTTAGATGAAGGGCCAAATTTTATTCATCTCTAATCAAGCTTTGTGTTCTTGTTGGTAAGTCACACTCAGCTCCAAAGGCCAATAATCCATGCTGGAAGGCAGCACAGCCCTCTGCAGCTTTCCCTGGCCCCCTCTTGGCCCAGGGGGTGATGGCTGGTGATGCAGGCACTGGAAGCTCCAGCCCCTGTGGAACTGGCCCTTCCTGACCCCAGGGAAGCTGGGGGGGCAGAACAGTGTGCAGCTCCCCTCCGTGCCTGCCCAGGCCATCCCGGCCCCCCTGTGCCCTGGGGAGGAGCAGGACCCACGCTGGTGTCTGTGTCACCTCTCAGGAGTGCTCAAAGCACCCGGGAAGGGGATCAGTGTTTGCACTCATTTTCCAGGGCCCATCTTCCTGCACAGAGCAGGAGCCGGGAGCCTGATGGGGTCTGGGGGAGCCCCCTGGGTCCCTCTGCAGCCCCCTGCCAAATGCAGCCCTCAGTGAGCACAGCTCCCCTCTCCCAGGCTTTCCTGTGAACACTGCGCCCTCCAGCACTCAGCACCAAGCTAAAAACAGCTCTATGGACAGGTGGGGTGAAAAAAAAAATTAAACCCCAAATTCTGGGCTGTTTGGATGGACACTGACACTGCAGGTGATGCTGTGAGAACACCTGCCTACGTTTCCCATCTAGACAGTTTTCTTGGAGACCTGCCTGCCCACCCCTTTTTGACCTGTGGGTTTAATGCCTGGTGTTTCCCCTTGCCTGGAGGCTGGAGGATGCATTGCTGGGGTTATCCTGGAGTTCATCCCTGAGTGGGGCTCTGTTCCATGGGGTGTGTGTCTGTTTGGGGGTCTGATGCCATGGGGCATGGCAAGGGAAGCTGCCAGTCCTCACCACTCAGCCCCAAAGCTGGAAGAGGAGCCAAGAGATGTGGCCAAGCTCTCTTTCCCTGCCCCTTGTCCCGGTATCTAACGGTCCATCGGGATTATTTGCACTGTCCGTGCAGCTGGGAGGCAAAAGGAGGTGTCTGGGCCAAGCAGTCCTCCTTACTTCATTTTCAACTGTTTGCAAAGCCCCTGATCAGACGACCCAGATGGTGCTAAATGGCCATGAAGGACCATTAGACAGTGGGTCATTGTCGTGCTCCTTGAGTTAGATAGTTGTGATGGGCCTGAACTAATTAATTTCTACCCAAAAAAGTAGCACTGAATCATGGTCCTTTGGCAGCACTGGTGAGAAGGAGTTGTAATCAAGTTTTGGCTTTATCCAGCCTGTACAAACAGGGATCTCTGCTGGAGCCACACACTTCCATGGCCACGGAACAGGGGAGCAAGGAAAGCCACGCAGAGGTTCAGCCAGAGTGATCTCCTCATCCCACGGGGCAGGAGAGCCTTGGGACAATCCAGCAGCTCCTCTGTGCCCTGGGTCTGTCCTGCCCCCCCTCTGGAATGCCCACATTTGGGAAATTTGGGGATGGGCCCGGGCCAGGCCTCCTGCAGGAGGAGAGGCCTCTGGGGCTGCACTGTGCCATGCCAGCCGCGTCTCCTCCGTCCCTCCTTTGGCTCCAGCTGCCACCTCCGAGGGTTTCCCTGCTTTTCTCATCACCCCCTTCTCAGCACCAGCCTTCCAGGAAGCCAGGGGCCTTTGCCAGTGTCCTGACTTGCTGGCACAGCTTCTCTCTGCAGGGATTTCTTTGTTTCCTCATCCTGGGGGTGTCGAGCTTCGACAAGGCTGGAGACAGGGAAATGTGATCCCGTTCCCCCAGCAGGGCTTGGACACCCTGCCAGATTAGGTACATCCTGAGCTGCTCCTGCATCCCAGAAGGTGAAGGAACAGGAGAAAAGTGTGATTACAGACACATTTCTGTGTGAGAAGAGACAGGAAACGTTAGGACTGTTTAGTCTGGAGGGGAGGCAGGTCTGTGGTGGCGCAAGAACAGCCCGAGAGCCCTGCAGCACTGACAGTCCTCTGCTTCCTCCATTTCTTGTCCCAAAAAAAGAAAAGGATGTGCAGAGGAGAGTGGATGCAGGAAAATGTTCTCCCAGTAGGTCTCAATGGAGAGATTTTAAGGGAAATCCCATCCTTTTGGGGAGAAATCCCTCCCTTTGACTGGGGAAGGGTGATACAAGAGCACACATCCCAATTCATTGGGAGATGCCTAAAAATGCAAACCAACTCCAGAGCTGTGGGCTTCCCACAGGACCCTGGGAGCAGCACCAGCCCCTCTCTGGTGTGGATTTCCCCTGGGACTGCCCAGGCTGAGCAGAGTCTGTCCCTGTGGGCAGCAGGACTCCAGCAGGCACCACCAGGAAGGGGAAACATGAAGGTGAAAGTGGATGTTTTTCATGCCTGAAACCCCCATGCAATGGAAAAGAGCCGGGCCAAGGAAGTGAGTGTAGCTGGCAATTATATAGACATATAGTTTGGAGAAGTGTTTTGACTAACCTGATAATGCAGCATGGAATAGCACGGCTCTGATGTAAAAAAGCCCTGAGACCCCAGAGGGGGAGCCAAGATTTTCAGTGGTGACTTGCCATCCATCCCAGAGCACACAGCCACGGGGGCATTCTGACTGGATGGGACCCCGGGAGCTCCCTGGTCCAACCTCTGTCTCCAGGCAGGGATAACTGGAGTTCCATCAGGGTGTTCAGGGCTGTGCCCAGGATAAGGCTGGTTTCTGCAAGGATGGGTCGCTCCTCCCTCCCTCCCTCGGTGCCAGTTCCAGCTTTTCTGAAGGGGAGAAGGTTTTTGGCATGTCTTCCAGCTGAACCAGGTCCTGCCAGTGCTGGGGACCCAAACAGGACCCAGTGCCCAGAGCTCTCTGCAGAGACCGGGGGTGTCTCAGCACGGCTGCACCAGCCAGGGGAGATCTGGGGCTCAAACACATCCCAGCAGGGCACAGAGCATGGCAGGAGGGCTGGCACACACACAGCTCCCAGGGAAAGAGCAGCAGGAGCTCTGAGTCCTGCAGGACCCGCAGCAGCACCGCCCCACGCCCCTGGCTGGGAGCTGGGGAGACTGGAAAGGTCTTTTCCAGCCCCAACAATTCCAGGCTTCCATCGCGGCCTCCTCTGCAGCCGCAGCCGGGCTGCCCCTCGCCCGCAGACGTGCACCCGGTGGGAGGTGGCAGTGCCGGGGCGCGGTGTCGCCGTGTCCCCGCGTCCACCCCGCTCGCAGCCCGGGGTCCCGCCGGGCCGTGCCTGCGCACGGACGGACGCACGGACACGGACGCACGGCGAGCCAGGCGCTGGCTTCTGCCCCGCGGCTGCTGATCCGATTAAAATGGTTAATCCCAGCGGTGCCCCCTCGCAGGGGAGAGCAGGCTCCTGGCGGGGCTGGCTGGGCATCCTGGGATCACTGACACTGCCGCAGGCAATGCTCGCTGCATTCCCGCAGCTCCATCCCGCCTGCAGCCCGTCGCAGTCCCGGTGCCTGGCACAGCCCCTGTCTCCAGCAGTGCTGCTGTGTGTGCGGCGCTGAGCTGGCTGTGCCTGGGCTCGGGGTGCTGGCCCAGCTGGGAGTGCCCCGGAGGTCTGGCTGTGCCTGTCCTGGCCCCAGGACAGCCCGCATGGGCTCAGGTATCCTGTGGGTACCTGCGGGAGCCTCGCCTGGCCCAGGCAGAGCAGAATTTGTGCGGCTTCCCTCCCAGCCCTCGCCATGACCCCGCCGGGGCAACCGCACTCCAAACGCCTCCAGTGCTGGTAAATGAGCACAAATTGGCCCCGGGCTCAGCTCCAGTTAGATCACACCAGGGCCACTAGGGTAATTGGGCTGCCAAGGAGGGGCCAGAGCACTGGCAGCATCCTCCCTGCCTGCCTGCCCACAGCTCCGGCCAGGCAGGCAGCCCTGGGGCAAGGAGGTGGCTCTGCCCCTGTCCCTTCACCTCCCACCACGGATGGGAGCCCCCTCAGGCTCACAGCCTCCCAGGGGCTCTCTCCTGGGTAAACCTGGGCACCTCAGCCCCGTTGTGGGGCCCTGGTGAGCAGTGCCAGCCCAGGGCCCAAGTCCCAAGCTCTGGTTGCAGCCCTGAGCAAACCACCAGCAATTGGGAAGGGGGATCCCCTATGGATGAGCAAAGCTTCTGTGGGATTTCTCTGCATCCCAGCCCCGAGTGAATGCAGGGGAGCCAGACCCCACCAGGGCCCCTGAGCCTTGACACAGACCCTTCAGGGAAAGGAGAACCTGCACAGGAAGTTGAATCAAGAAGACTTTTAATCAGATTTGTCAGACAGAGTTGGATCTCCAAATAAATAGATTTATCAAAAGGGAATAAAACAAGAATTCAGGGATAAATATATGTACCAAAACAACCTGAAAATCCCCCAAATCTGTTTCCAAACAGGGGGAAGGGGATGCTGCTGCACACCCTCCTCCCCATGCTGCAGAAATGATCCTGTTTGCCCTCTGGGAGATGCCCCTCCTGTGAACACAGCCTGGTAGATATTATATAGGATAGATATAAATATATAGCACAGTAAATGCTGAGCAGCGACCTTAGTGCAGTGCCCAGGGTCTCAGACCCTGCCAGCAGCTGGCTCCTCCCAAAACTTACATCTCCAGGTGACCTGCAGAGAGGGAAGAGAATCATCCCAGGGAAAAGAATCTTTTCCCAGCAAAGAGGGAAAGGAATCATCCCAGCTGGAAGAGAGGAGATTGTTCAAAAACACCCCTTGGAGGACATCCAGCCCCAGAAGCCCCTTTGCAGCTCCCAGGGGCTCCAAGGAAAGAGGGAGGGATGATTTTCCTCCCTTTGCAGGTCATCTTTCCCCTGGTGAGAAGCACGGTCATGTCCTGCTTTGCCACACTCCTCAGGAGCGCCGGGGTGTCCGGGATGGTTCCCACCTCCTCCTCCTCCTCCTCCTCCTCCTCCTCCTCCTCCTCGTGTGGCAGCAGGTCCTGAGGAACCTGTCTGTCCCTGCTCCCTGTGCTCACCCCACACCTCTGGGCAGCGGGAGGGAGGCACCTGCCCGGCTGTGGCTCCGATGGCTTGGGGTTGGGATGGTTCTCTGGAGTCGCTGGAATTCCCACTAGTGTAACCTGTATTGCAGTGCCAGTCTACTGAGTAATGCAGCTCTGGAGTTGGGATATATGTGTATGTGTGTCTGTGTGTAGATAAATCGATAGCTAGAGGAGAGTTCTCGGCTTTACAAGGTCTTTGTCTCCTTCTCTGGGCTCTCCGTCATCCTCAGCTCCGACGTCTGCGCTCGGAAGATGTTCCAGTGACCTGGATCAGCAGGACAGACAGACAGACAGACATCAGCAACAGCCTCGGGGCAGGCCATGTTCAGAGCAGCTCCTCAGGGATCCCAGCCACAGGTACTGCAGCTAAATTGATCCCAGCCACAGGTACTGCAGTTAAAACAGGGCTTGGAGGGGCTCTCGCCCTTGCAATGCAGCAATGGCACAGTCAGTGGCACTTACAGTGCTTTTTGTGCAAAACACTCACACAGTGTGAAAAGAAAAGGGGCTCAGGCTGAAACAGGGAAAAAACTCCCCCTGCACCTCTTTGAAGGGCGCTCTGATATAGTGTTAGGTTCACATCCTCCCTGGCATGTCTCAGATTTGGGTGACTTTCTGCCTCTCAGAAGCATTCTGCTTCTGTCTCAACCTCAGAACGCCAAAATTTCAGTGTCATGGCCATTGGACAGGTTCTCTCCTCCCTTCTGTCAGCCCCATTTTGGGATGGATTGCTCAATTTCCCCCCATTTATACTCATTTTTGTGCTGCCGCCTCAGTCTTGGGTCTTCATTCAGCAACCTCTGGTAGGGGAAAATCCTGCTGCAGAAGAAATCCCTCTGAATCCCCCAAGGAGCTGCAGACTCCCAGCAAATCAAATGTGGAGCTGTGAAAGCCCCCCCAAACCAGGACAAAGTGTCCCAGTCCCTCTCCTTGCTCCCTAAAGAACCCCCAGATGTGCAGGAGGTGGCTGGAGGTGCTCCCTTCCCCTCCAGGTGTTCTGTCTCCTCAGTGCAACCCCAGCCAGGATTATACAGCCCCAGTGTCATCACCCCGGGGGTGAGGGAGTGTTTTCTGGCTGCATTCACCTTCTGCTGTGAGGAAATCGTGGGTCAGAGCTTTCCTAGAACTCGCAGCCACTGCAGCGGGACGGTTTCACAACACGGCTGTTTGCCAGGGGAAACTGAGGCAAGGAGAAGGAGCACGTGCCAGAGAGTGCACCAGGGTGTGAAGCACAGCCTGGCAGCAGGGACTGCACAGTCCCCCGGGGTTTGTTTGGTCAGAGATGCTGTCTGAAAGGGACAGGGGTGCTGGTGTGCCCGAGTGAGCCATAGCCCCGGGTGCTGCACACCGCAGGCTCTGAGCCCAGCCCAGGCAGCAGGGAGCAGCCAGCAGTTCCCTGCACACAGGCGTTCCTGCTCTCTGTCATGTTTACGCACATCCCGGAGCATCCTGAATGGTTTTAAAACACATTTCGACAGTTTGATTTTTCGCTAATCCCTTGCACCATTTTTTTTTTGCCCTCCCCCCTTGCTCTCAGGAGCACCAGATGGATTAGATATAAAAATCAAACAGTTTTACGGGCTCTGGAGAGACAAAACCTCTGGATTTCACAAGAGTACAGCCGCTTTTAGAAAGCTGGCTGCCCTTTCCTATGCCATAAAGTGAAAATGTGGCTGTAAGCAGGAGTGTTGCGTGGGGTGTGAAGACAGGTCAGCCCCAGCACGGCTACACTTGCACAAGTGCTGTCCCCAGGACTCAGCTCCCACACCAGGCTGGGACTCACACAGCCTGTGGAAGGGCCAGAGCAGAGCAGGAAATCAGGAGGGAGCGCAGGAGGAGTGAGGAAAGGGGATTTTTCTCTCCCTACCTTCGTTTGTCCTGGTGATCAGCCTGAAGTTTTGTGCCTCTTGCTTGAATTCTTGCTTGCTGATCTTCTTGGTCTGGATCAGATGGAATATTCCTGCAGAGGGGGACACAGGACATCAGATTCTGCAGTGCCCAGCTCAAGGCTCACACAGGGCTGGATTCTCTGTCCCCTCTGCCTGCCCCAGGGCCCTGGCTTGGTGCAGCCCTGCTGCCAGAGCCTGGTGGGAGCTGGCAATGGAGCCAGGGCTGGCCAAGGCTCCAAGGAGACATCTCATTTAAGTATCAGATTAGATATTAGGAGGAAATTCTTCCCTTTGAGGGTGTTGAGGCCCTGCACAGGTTGCCCAGAGAAGCTGTGGCTGCCACACAAGTGGGGAAGTGTTCAAGGCCAGGCTGAAGCAACCTGGGACAGTGGAAGGTGTCCTGTCCACAGCAGGGCTGTGGAACAGGGCCGGTTTGAAGCTCCCTTCCAACCCAAACATGCTGAGATTCTGTGGTTCTATGAAAGCAGCCACTGCTTGTTGAACCAGGATGTTCCACCATGGAGCAGGTGAAAGCAATGGGATTTTGTTGCTCCAGAAAGCATCGTGCCCTGCAGGAGTTCCAACCTCCCCTAAAAGCATGAAATACATAAAGGTGAGAGCAAAGGGATGCTGGGTCCCCTCTGCTCACTCTCAAGCACCAGTGCTCCCCTCCATGCTCAGGTGATCTTTCCTGGAAGCACCAAAGGTTTCCATCTCTTGGTCAGCAGTGCTGAAAGTGCTCCAGCACAGGAACAAACACAAGTGACCTCAGCAGGGATTGATATTTCTGCCCCTGGCAGCACTGACCCTCCGTGGAGCTGCTGACTCAGATGTGTGACCCCTGCAAACCAGAACCTGTGTTTAGCAATGACCCTGCCCTTCCTGTGGGATCAGGGATCTGGCATTCCTGCTCTCCTGCAAGGCATGACAAGGCAGGCAGGTATGCCTGGAATATCCTTCCCCACCTCTCACTCAGGCACATCCAGCCTCCTGCTGCCAGCAGATGGGAGAGGCAACGTGGTCCCCCTTATTTGGTTAAGAGACTTTCCCTGATTCCCAGCAGCAATTACACATGAAAAGGGTATGTAATGAAGGGGAACTGCCTCACAAGCCAGATAAATGAGATGTTATCAACTGTGGAAAATTAGTACAGGAAGTCAAAGGCAGAGAGAGAAATAGATGGATTTTTGCACTGTTACTTAGTCCTTCCAGTGGGTTGGGTAAAGAAGTCCTACTAGTAACAAAAGAAGACACTGGATGGAGATAATAAAACTGTTATTGACGCAAGAAAGGCACAAGTGTTCAATAAATTCTTCTGGTCTATAATTAGAAAGGAGCAGGAGGGTGTGCTTACAGTCCCGGGGCTGATGGAGCACTTTCCAGCACATTAGTAACCAAGAGGATATTTTAAACAAGAGCTACGAGAGATAAACATCTTTTAATCAAGGACCTGCACGATGCTCCCCAAGAGCTCTCAGAGAGCTGGCTGAGACCTTTGGCCCCAGGAGGGTCATTCCCAACATCCCAGGAGCTGGGAGCAGCAGAGGAAGGCAGCAGGAACCAGGACAGCACAGGCTAATGACAGTCCAGCCGTGGGGAGGCAGGACGGATGGAGCTGGCACAGGGCAGTGCCATTTCCTGGCACACACACACCCCATCCAACGGGCAGGAGCACTCCTGGCAGCCCTTGGGATGGAGTGAGCTGCTGGGGCACTGTTCTCAGTGCTTTAAAGGGGATTTGTGAGAAAGATGGGCATGGACAGAGAGGACAGCAGGTCAAAACCATCAGATTTTCAAAACTGCTGGTGATGTTCAGAACCCTAAAAAGATGGGGAAGCCCTCACTGCAACTCTTGTGGAGGCCAGCTGTGCACCACCAGCCAGCTGGGCAAAACCTTTGGCTGGAGTTGGTGCTGGTTTCTCCTCCCAGCTCCTGCTCCGTGGAGGAAACCATCCCAGCCCAGAAATAGATGAGGCCACGTAGGTATCGTGAGCCCATACAAAGGCAATGGACCGGGTCCAGGTGTGACTTGCAGGCTCTTTGCTCCACACACGCTGCTCTGTTGGTGGAGCCATGGCCCACGGAGAGGTGGAATCCATATGTGAGTGAGCTCATGCTCTTTCCCAACAACAACACTGCGCCGTGCCAAGCAAAAGAGCCGTGTTGGCCTCGGGGACAAGGGCCTCCCCTGTCCCTGGCTGGCAGGGCTGGGGAGCTCCATGCAGCTCCATGGGGCTGCTGGCCTCGGAAGGTGCCGGCAGGGTTTGGGTGCTGCCCTGCCAAGGAGCCAGGGGAGGAAGCGGCGGGGCCCGAGCTGTCCTCAGCCACAAGGTGCCTTTGTGAGGGAGGCCCTGCTGAGGAGGGGCAGCGCGGGCAGCAGGGAGCGTGCCAGGGGCAGGATGGGGATGTGGTACCACCAGGGCTCCATCCCTGGTTAATGTCTCAGGTGATGTCCAGCCATGGCCAAGGTCTCCCCAGGGAGTGATGTGAAACACGGGCACACCAGGAGACCAGGGTGGCTGCACAAGTCCAGCAGACACAGGGCAAGGGACACTGCATCCATAGAGAAGGTACAACCAACCTGAAGGACTCGAGTTCTTGGAGTACAGTGGAAACTCAGGAATGGGGCACTGGGATGCTTCCCTGGGCCACAGAGAGACACAGCACAAATATCTACTGCACCAGGGGTCCCCAGACTCCCCTCATCCACAGGGGCAGAGCTGAAGGTGTGAAGAAAGAGCAAGAGATTGGAGCCTGTTGACAGCGTGTTTGCTGCGCCTTGACCTCCAGAGCACACACCAACAGGAAGGAGCACCCAAACCCACCCATCCAAAAAGTGGGCTGGGGACAATTCATCCCCCTTTGTGCACCTTTGCAGCTGCTTTCTAGCTGTAGGTGGACTGGGGTGTAAAAAAATGAGTGAAAGCAACACCACAGGGCCACCAGAGCAATTCCTTTGTTTGTTTTCCACGTGCATTTGGCACGGAGCAGGGGGTCTGGAGGAGCAGCCCCAGGCCCTTGCTTGGTTGCCCATGTGCTGTGCCCCCAGATGGTGCTGCAGCTCGTGGTGAGGATAGTGGGGCCAGAAGTGGTTTCCAGCCCCTGGCCTGCAGGGAATGCAGGGAGAGGGTGTGAAATGGGGGAGCCAGGAAAGCCAGCCTGCTGTCAGCAGGTTTTGATCCACCACACAAGGGGCGGAGCACCGCAAGAAAAGCCAGAGAAACAGAACAAAGCTTGGAAAGCATCAGGTTTCCACACACACCTCCCGCTCTGCTGGCCGCTTTCACAATGGTGCTCACCTTTAATCAGCTTCCAGTTGTAGATTTCCACCTCCTCTGCCAGCTCCCTCTCGATGGCCACGGTCCTGAGGA